CGTATAATAGCCGTATCTTTCGATTTGCGCAGTTTACGCCAACGACGGTCGCGCCTCCGACGGACGAAAGCCGAACACGATCGAATCGTATCGGGCCAAAATCAAGGACATGTTCAGGCCGGCCATGCTCAAGCCGTTCCGATTGATAGTCGGCTACGAGCTGATCTTTCATTGCGCCGCGCTGACTGGCATCCGTTGCTACATGGTCGAAATCTTTCGCAGCCTTCGAATGCCCATCGAAGCCGAGTGGCTAGTGGTAAGCGCGTACCTCTTTTCGTTCCGTTCCGTTCCGTTCCGCTCTTTCCTTTCCAATGGCTACCGACTACCGAGATGGGCAGCTCCGTTTGCGTATCGTCGCTATCGGTAACCAGATCGTGGCGCATCGAAAGTTGAGAACGGAAACCGCATATTTTTATTTCTCTTATATACTCGTACTTTCGTAGATTTCAGATTTTATTCGTGTTTTTTTTTTTTTTTTACAGTTTTTCACGAGTCTCGTAATGATTGCCGGAGGTGTGATCTGCATTACGACGGTAAAATTCGTCGGCAAACGCGTTTTGTCGTTGATTTCTCTGGCCATTTGCTCGTTGGCTAGCATCGTGATCGGCGTGTACGCTCTATACGCGAACCAAATAAACGAACCGTGGATCCCGATGGTCGCCGTTTGCATTTTGTATTTCGCCTCGAATATCGGCATCGGACCCATTCCTTGGATGCTCATAAGCGAGGTGTTTCCCGTAAGGTGAGACCGTCCTCCCACTCTCCCTTTGCTTTCATTTTTTTTCCAAGGTGCGAGGGGCGAGCGGCAAAGAATAGACGACGCGACGAGAAAGATGAGAAAACGTGGCTGCGATTATACGGATTATATTCGTATTATATGTACAGTAGTACACATATAGGCAGTATAGGCGTACGTGTAAATTCGAGCGCGAACGTACGCTCGCAGAACGGCGGCGGCGGCCGGCCGAGAATTCGCCGACGCCGCGCCACTCGATCGGATCCGGCTTCCGCCCTACCAACGGTGGCTATGAAACGTTCGAGACCTACGCCCACGATAACGATTACGATATTCGACTGAAGAAAAAAAAAAAAAAAAAAACTACGGTCCGTAGCGACGAAATAGAAATTCTCGCGAATCGCGAGCCATTCGTGAATCGTGATTCGTCTCTCATTCGTAACGTCGCGTCGCGTCTTTAGTTGGCAGTTTGAACGGTGCGGCGCACGCGCTTACAGTAATACAGTCCGTCCGAAATAATTTACGCGAAATAATATCATTTTATACTCGCAAGCCCCACACTATTCCTTGTTTCG